ACTGAACACCTTGATTTGAAGAGAAATAGTCCTTAAGGTTGCCTCTAACATGAGTGTCCAGAAATCAGTGCGGGTGGAGTCCTGCTCAAGGCTAGAGGGCACTCTGCTGAGAAGGTAGGGCTCTGCTTGTGAGAAACAAGGTCTGAATAATCAGTCCCCTGGCCTGTTACCTGCTTCACCTGGAAGCCACAAAACCAAGAGTCCTTTTGACTGTGGTACCCTGTGAGATACCCTCCAAAAGAGCTCAAACCATCCAGTTTAGCACATCATTTGGGGAACATCCAAGAACAACACAGTAGAAGTACACTGTGCTATGTACAATATGTGATAAATGATAACTAAACAGATTTGGCAAAAGAAGTCAAGTAGTTTGTGGATTCAGAAGGAAGTAGGAACCTTATCACAAGAAATCTCTGAGGAAAAAACTCCTAAGTCTGCGCTTCTCGGTCTATATTTGTAGTTATTTATTCCAATAATTTTTCATTGTGCAGACTCTCATACAGCCATGACTTCTTGATGGGTTTTACTAGTGACTGGTGTAGTGACTTCTTTTCCTTCCCCTGGCTACTTCAGGGCCAGCCACCATCATAAATACACAGTAACTGCTTGACGCTGGGACAGAAGAGAAAACAAATGCTTACTTACTGAAATCCTCCACCCTGAGAAAACAACAGAATCAAAGGCAGAAATCCAAAAAAATGATAGAAGATCATGCACACACCCCCACCCATGTCAACTTTGTATCTGAATTCAGAGAGTTCACCTTGGGAGCAGCTAGGTGACTGGCTTTGGTATGGCTTGTGCTTCCTCAAATGGTACAAAGGGAAATTAACCCAAATGCAAACTGGTAAACTGTGGCATATTAGAAGGAAAAAGTCAAGCAAACAGTTGAAGGAATATAAGAACCAAACGAAGACACTGAGGGCTGCAGAAGCCAGCATCCATGCTGGCAAAATAATGGGTAGTCAATGACTTTATTTGTGATGACAAGCAACTTGTGAAAGATTAATAAACTGCAGAAACTTTGAAAACCCACATAAAAAAAATACCCCATCCATTTTATTCCTTTTACCTGTAATTTCATTTTATTTTATGTTAAATTAGCATTAGAAAGATTAAGAGATGTGGCCTTGTTGGAGGAAGTGTATCACTGAGGGTTTCAAAACCCCCCAACAAGCCCAGTCTCTCTCTCTCTCTCTCTCTCTCTCTCTCTCTCTCTCTCCCTGAAGACCAGGACATTAAAACTGTCAGCTACTTCTCCAGCACCATGTCTGCCTGTGTGCTGCCATGCTCCCCACCATGACAATAACGGACTAAGCCTCTGAAACTGTAAGCAAGCCCTCAATTAAATGCTTTATTTCAAAAGAGTTCCCTTGATCGTAGTGTGTCTTCACAGCAATAGAGTAGTAACTATAACAACCAGCCTGGGGTTAAGTAACTTATGAGAACTGTGGCATTTATTTATTCCTCAATGACTAGCAAGAGAAGGCAAATATTGTTAGTCATTTTACTGGGGGGGGGGGGAATGAGTATTAGTTGGAAAATGTCATAACTTTCTGGACCTGTATAATGGCACAATACCACATATGATCCTCAAGCCTGGAGTGTGAACCTTTACAAACACCCGCTTCTGGGAAAGTCCTTCCCTCATTTCAAAGACTAGGACATTATAAGAATCAGTGATAAATTATGAGACCACCTTATATACTCCTTGTATTTTACTTAGAAACTAAATAATTTGCTATCTATATAACATTCTCAATTAATGAGTTTGTGCATCTTATTTATAGCTACCATTGACAAAATGCCTGTTTGTTTCAGGATAACTTCCATCATGAACACAGGAAGATAAAACATCTCCATATTTTCAGAGGACAACAAAAAATGTTGTTCAGCAGATAATCCTGAGAAGCTAAACTCCAAATGTACATCTCTACCCAACATCTTGGAAGCAGAGCGCCAGTACATCATACCTGTCTTATCAGGATGGTTCAGGGTCTGTGCTTATTGAAAACTCAGAGGCATGTTTTGTCCCAAAAGTGTTCATCATATTTTAAAGAATTTTTTAAGTTCTCCATTAATAAATGTGACTTGTTTACTATTTAAAAACATCCCTATTACTCTTGAAAATCAAGAAACACAATTTGGTACAAGAGAAGCTTTGTGGTCTGTGCTTATGATATAATCCTACGTCAAGTACTTAAAAACCCTGGTGTCTATTGACCTAGATGTGTGACCTTCTCTAGTCTTGGTAATGTTCCTCTCGAAGATAATAAGAGCCACACCCGGAGGAGAGCAGAACACTGTGTTCTGGAGCTTGTGCTTTCCAACCTTGGACTTTATATAAATTATGTAGTTGAATGCAAAAAGACATCCAGTTTTTAGGCATTAGTAAATATGGAAAATATCCATCACAGTGTCTAAACAGTAAGATTTAGAGCATGGTGCATGCCTTTAATCCCAGCACTTGGGAGGCAGACGAAGGCGGATCTCTGTGAGATTAAGGTTAGCCTGGTCTACGGAGTGAGTTTCAGGATAGACTCCAAAGCTACAGAGAAACCAAAAAAATAAAAAAAAATAGAACATCATGTTCATTTTCTTCACTGGTAATCAAAATCCCACAGATGAAGCTACAAAATACAATGCCCAACCTCATGCATGTTATTTACCAGACACTATTTTATTTGTATGTATGTTCATGTGCACATGTGAGGGAGGGCACACTTGCCACTGCCTGCACATGGAAGTCAGAGGGCAGCTTTCAAGAGTCATTTCTCATCTTCCACCTTGTTGAGACAAGGTCTCTCTTTATTCCTGCCACTATGCAGCAGAGTAATGCAGGCTAGCTGGCTCACCTGATTCTCTTGTCTGTGCTTTATATTCCAACGCAGAAGCAGCCACAGTTGTAAATGCCTAAGCCAACATATTGTTCCTTGCATTCAAAACACATGGGAGGAATGTGAAAAATTCATCTAGTTTTGGCATCTCAACTCTACACTATAATTCCTGATTCTGCAAACCACAGATATGCCAGAGTCCCAAACTCAGAAGTTATCAGGAAATGAAAATGGGTGAAGCAGAGAGAAAGTCATTGAAAAAGCCAGATTTGTTTTCTGTCCTGTGAGAGAGTAAAAATATTCTGTACAATGATAATAACAGTAATAATAATAACAGTAGTAGCAGTGCCAGGATGGCAAGACATGGCACTGGACATGGGCCTCCATCTCAGAACACCAAGAGGGAGTGGTGGGCCCTGTAACGTGGGGGTAAAGTCCTGTCTTAGCAGATGTAGCCCAGCTGGCTTCATCCACTGAGGCACCTCAGCCGTGTGTTCCAATGAAGCAAGGCATCTAGAGGTGCGTTCAGAATTGAAATTTGAATTGTTTATCTTAATCCTGTGTGAATAATACCAACAGCTTCTGTACTGTTGAATCTGATCCCAAGACACTTGAAAACCACTGTGGCTTTTTCCTGGCACATTAAAGCTCCTCTCAAAATCATTAAGGCAAGAGCTGTCAGTTCTAAAAAGCCAAGAAGTACATGTCAGTCTCTCCACAAGCTGCTGTTACATGGAATCATGACGCCACTGATACAGATGAAGTGTCCTTGACTTTGGCTCCCAGTGCACAATATGAGAGTGAAACAGCTGTCTTTTTTTTCCAGAGGCAAACAAGAGTGACAAAGCAAGCATTGCTCTGATTTGGCAAAGGACACTTTCAGAACCATGTAATTTAACTCACTTCGAAGGTATAATTCAATCTTCCAACCTCCTGCATGTGCTATTGAATAGCTGGCGAGACCTGGACAATATATTCTGTCTACAACAATGGCACCTATTCTCTTCTTGGTGAGAAACAGTCAGGGGTTTGTCTCCTCCCATAGCAATAATGTGCCTTCACCTTGAGAGCTACAGAACCTGTGCGCTGCTGACAGGACACCTGTCGGAACATTTCACTCACTCACTGGGAACTAAGGCTGAAATGTAACAATTATCCATGCAATTCAAAAATTAAACCAGACCTATATAATTCCAGTCTACCATGTCACCAAAGGAGGAAGGTATTCAGAAAGCAATGCTACACAATTCGAGACAACAGAAAGAGTTGTCACTTCATTGTTTATATTATAAGTAACACATCCTTCTGGGCCTGGGCTGCTGAACCCATGTCTGGGTTCAGGGCTCTGATGCAGCCACAGTCTCTGTTGGTGTCTCTGACTCCTGGTACCACCAAAGTCAGAGAGAATAGAGTTGTACAGAGTTGCCTCCCACCTCACTGGCTGCAACACTAGAGAGAACTGAGCCTGCCCCTCACTGAGGCTAAAGACTGAAGAACTCAAGAGCGAAGGTTCTACATCTCACCTGGGCAGCAAAATAGAGATGACCCCGTTCATAGGGGGCATGAGTGAGTTTGCCCTGAGGGCATGAGAATGGGAGAACAGGTAGCTCCATCTCATTTGTCATGTGATGGCGTGGATGAGGGAAAGAAGCTCTCCTCCCCTCAACATTCACCACCTGCAGCAGGTGGGGGACCTGACCCAACCCCTTACCGGCAACAGCACTCGGGTGAACAGGCCCTGTGTTTCACCTGGACAGCACAGTAGAGTTGACTATGAAGACAGGGGCGTGGGTGAGCCAGCCCTGAGGGCATGAGAGAAGCATTGCTGGTACTGCCTGCCT